GTCAGATTGAGAGACTTCAGAACCTCTGCAGAATTCAGACAGGTGAAGACACACTTGTTGAAGGTTACAAAGACAGCTCCATTTACAAAATATTTTGGAAGACTCTAACCCTTTACGTTTGTGTAATAAGAGACCCTGCTGCGTGATGTAAGTATTTGATGCACTTTTGGTTTGGAGAACCTTGTTTGCATGAGTGTTTTTCAACAAAAGCAAAAATAAGCAACCTTGATTATCCACAGATTTGCATCCACTTCTGGGATGACTGTGTAGGTCAGTGTTGCCATTTAACTGTAGCTGGTGGCAAAGTGTGGAAGTAAACTAACATGCTAGCAAGTTACTTGAGGATGTTGGCACTGTCGTTGTTGTGCTTCACTGCATATCATTTCATTGCTAGCACATTACATAGGCAAAGTCAGCTACCATAGGGTAGTCTGAATTATTTTGTATTGGTGGTACTGGAGGATTGGACTGATATGACCATCAATAATTGAAATCTGAAAAGAAACTCAGAGTAATGCATGAGGAGATTGGATAGACATGTCAGTATTTGGAATTCTCTTTTTATTTAGTATCTGATATGAAATCAACAGATTTGAGCATAAACAGTTATTTACTGATTTGTATAGAACAAAATGCCTTTGTATTTTTGGGTTTTTTTAGGAGAGTAGAAAATACAGATTTCCATAATGATAGCTTACACAGCTGAGAGAAAATATTTGGTCACTGTCTCAGCACAAACACAGCGCAGATGTCTTAATGTTTTAGTACTGGCTCTGATTTCACTAAGTCTGTCCTCAGACTCTTGGAATTCAGTGATCTATCCTAAAGTGTCAAATTATTTTGTCAAATAAACATACAAAATAAACTTTTTGAGTGTCTGTTTTCTACCAAAAGCTGTAGCAAGCTCACCTTCTGAAGGGAGATCTTATCTGTGGGCAGTAAAATACTGGATAAAACTTCAACGTTTTCAATTTTTAAACAGGTTTCAGAGTTGAAGTGTTTTACGAGAACTTGTGAGAACTCCAGAATTATTTTCCAGTTCTCTGTGGCTGCTTTTAGCATTCAAACAGTAACTCTTACTGCTTTGCATGTTAATAGAAATAGATTCCCTCCCTGCCCCGCTTTTCTCTTTGAAATAAACTGTTTTGGGGTCAGACCAAGAGTTTGGGGTACTTGCTAAACTAAGGAGGTTTTCCAAGACCTTCTTAGTTTAAGGTGTCTAGCTTTAAATGGGAATTTTAATACAGTTTTTAAGTATGTTTGCTAATTAAAATTGGGTTTAATGTACTTTCATCTGATATTTCTCTCCACTTCCCATCTTGAAAGCTTCCTTAAGCAATTTAACTTTAAATGATTTAGTATCATATTTCTCAACAGTCTCTATTTCTTTTTGAAACCTGAGTGCTAAGCTAAAATTTTAACTTTAATTTTATGAATGAACGAAAAATTCTTCAGGGGCAGGCTTCTGTTGTGGTTTGGCTGTTTACTTCTAAGCTTGCCTCGTAGGAACTTGGCAGGAGTCAGAAGGCAGAGTCCATGTGATAAGATGCTTCTCATTGCTTTATTGGTGGTACCTTGCACCTCCATGAAGTTATGAGGACTTCCAGGTAATTGGGAATTCAGAATTGCCATTATACAGGTAATTCTGAATTCAGAGCTGCCATCATACATGTACTGCTGCAAGTCTACCCACCATCTATGAACACAGTGTTTTGGGTGCCAAAGATGTCTGTTTGAGAGCTCTGACAGTATGAAACCTGTGTGTGGTGGTATGTAGCAGAGTACTCAGAGAAACTGTACGCAGCAGCCATTGCTTTTTGAAGAAAACTGTCAGTCCTTGGTTGTCAGAGTAGAATAATTGGAGACAATTGTTTTGTGAACTTGGTTTGGTCACTGACAGTTGTATGCCCTGCATATAAAAGCTAATCTATAAATAGATGTTAAAAATCTGTGAGGACAGGGTCAAACTAAATTGCCGAGGTAACTTGCAAGTGAGAGTCATAGAATTAAGTCTGTCATCAAGGTTTTAGCTATTCTGGATCACGTGAGTAAGACTTCTCTCCACTTTTCCTCCCTGTTAACTTACTTCCTTTCCAGGAAAAGGAGCTATAGATGTGAAAACTACATTTAAATAATATGTGTCTTTCCATTGGATGTTTGAACTTCTGACATGGGGAAACAGCAGGGTTCTCTCTGTTCCAGAGGAAGAGGAAATGGGGGGGAAAAGTGGATTGCATGAGGCAAGCAATGTATGGGAAGCAAGTGTTTAGGATGAATTCTGTGATAAGAGGTGACATCCCCTTAAAGCAGAGGAGTTGCTTTTTATGAAGTATAGGTGGTGACTTAACTCTTTTTTAGCCCTATTATTTTATCCATATAAAGCTTATGAAATCTACAGAAACACAAGAAGATTCATACTCAGTAGCATTTCCAAAAGTAACCACTTCAGAAATTAATACCTAGTTTTGTGCAGTGTAGCATAATACATTGAACTGCTGTATCGTGGCTTGGTGTTTTTTAAGACACGCATGGTAATTCTTTCACTGTCTTTTAGACATTGTGTTCTGTATTGTGTGATTCAGAGAGACATTACCAACCAGGAGTAACTTCTTGCATGCCTGACTTAAATGGAAGCATCCTGCACATGGGGCCTTTCTTAGCTTCAGATTTCCCAGAGTTGAGGCTCTTATCTCCTTCTGTGACTGTAGGAACACGTAAGCCCTAACACAGACAGTTCAGTGTCATAATGTCCTGAAGTCATAAGGTCTGTCAGTTAAACGTCAGGCTTTGTAGTATAAATGTCCTGAAACTGCAAAAACAGCAGCCTGAGGATGCTTTATGCATAGGAGGTGTAGCAGCATAGTTTTTCAGACCATCACGACTTAAGCTTTCTAGTGTGCTTTGTGTTTTCTTGACTTAAAAGTGACATCTAACATAGCAGTACTTGCTTACAACAATGGAAAAAAAATTGTGCTAAGTTTTGTTTGGCTCAAGCAGAGGTATGAAAAAGGAAGAGGAGAAACATCTGCAGATGTTACAGCATGTTTGAATTGAAGTAAAACCAGATAAGAGCAAGGAACAGGCAGCTTTCTTCTTTAAATAAACAGGAAAAAAAACCCAAACGATCAATAAACCAAATTTTAAGGGACAAGTGTGTGGGTTTTGAAGATATATTAATATTACTGGAGTACACTGAAAGGAATGAAAATAACCATTTCAGATTGCTTTTAGAAATAATTGTGCTGGATTTTTTTTTTTCCTCTTTGAGTAAGACTTGGCCAAACTGCTAAGAAAGTCAAAAGCTGTTGTTTACGGCTCTCTGCTGGGAACGAGGTCAATTAGCGTATGCCATACAGAAATATGTTGCAGATTAAAATGCCTGAAGTTAGAAGAAGCCATTGTTTCAGTGTGTTTTAGCTGATTGATGTGGGTGCTGCCTTAGGAACAGTGGCAAGTCAAGTTTAAAAGTCTAAGGCATGCGCCTCCGGCCTGTGCCCTTTTACCTACTTTCCTTGCAAGCACGTGGCAGTGGAGGAATGCAGCAGAGGGGAAGTGTACAGCGGCTTATGATTAAACTCCCCTTGAAGGAGGAAAACAAGTGTTCAGAGAAAGGGACTTCAGGAAGCCTTTGGTATTCAGCCATCGTAATTCAGGGCGCTCTTAAAGGCTTATGGTTTTCTTAAGTAAAGAAAAAGAATATGAAAAGAAACAGGCCGTTTTATTGTTTCACATCCTAAGGTCAAGCAGTACAGTCCTAGAACTGGACTGTATTTGTTTACTGGATTTGGGATTAATTCTTGCTGGATTAATATTTTTTCATTTGGGAATGAGGAATATTTTCCTTACTGAAGCATGTTTAATTTTATGAGCATGCTAAATTTTAATTCATTAAAATGTCAGGTTAATTTTTCACAATTAATGCTATTTATAGTATTTTTATGTCTTCAACAGTAAAAAAGCATGTGCCTAAAAATGAGAGTTCCTGAAATTCTTTCCTTTCAGAAACAGAGAGGAGATTAATTACAAATTTCCAAGCCGAAAAGTCAGAGGGGAGGTGAAGGGTAAGAAAACTAGTAGATCTGGTACTTAAGACACTGGCATTCTAAAATACAAAATTCCATCCATGAGTGAACTGCAGAACCTGTTGGCCCTTCTTGAGACAAATCCAGGTGCCTGATTCTCTGTATGTGGATATGGTTGGGGTCTTTTGTTTGTGTTTGTTGGGGTTTTTTTGATCCTAGTCTTAATAGTACTGCTAAGCATATGGTAAATTCTTAACTTTGAATACTTTCCCCTTTCGCAACCCCTGTTGAGCCCAGGTTATACCATGTATTACTGCTGCCTGTCTCTGTTTTATTGCTCTGTTGCAGTCTTGGTCTCACCATCAGCTGGTGCTGAACAATTTAAATGAATGAATGGACAGCTGACTTTGACTTCCTCATGCAGCAGGGCCCATATAAGTAGTTGTTAGTGACTGAGTCATTAAGTACTACAAATTGCAGTTGTTACTAGGGCATACAGGGCTTGTTTTAAAGCTTTCTAAACAGGTCTTCAAAGCTGATTTGAGTTCTTTGTTTCCTAATCAGATGCTGTATGCGCATAGATCAAATTACATACTATCTGTAGGATACTATGAGCTTTAGCTACCCCTCTGGAAACAGAGGAGCCTGATTCCCTCAGAACACGGCTTCTAAAACTTGAGCAGTGGCTGATGGATTTGGGAGATCTGTGAATTACCATCAGCCACTGTAGCAGTAGTTGTATTGCAGAGGTGGATCATTGCAGATAGGCACTTTAAATATTGCAGTCCCTGCCTGTTGGTCAGCAACCTTACTAGATGATGTGTAGCAGCACTTAATTTGTTCATATTTGCCTAGTACTCCTTCTCTTTTATTTATTATGCATTTTTTTCCTAAGCCTACTGTTACTGCTGCATTCCAAGTATTTATGTTCCCTACTTGTCTACTCATACACTTTTGCACCCGTTCTTTGTGTTTCAGAGGACTTTGACATAGTAGAAAATTTACAGACTAGAGGAGCAGCACCGCAGTCATAATAAACTGCTTTTGAAGTGTCCAGCTAAACTGCACTGGTTAGTCCTCACATACCATTCAATAGAGGATGATAGTCTATCAGAATTTCCTCTACTCTGCGTAATTTTGATTTTTGCAGTTATGTGCCAGTCAGAGCTCAGAGCCATAGGGACTATATAGTGTCTTATTGGTGTGAGTAATCAGCTTGAAATTAAGATATGAAAAAAAATTCAGTGAAAGATATGGCCAGAAGCAGCTCTGATTTGCTAGCTGAGGCGAAAACTTTAGATATCTTTTGTTTCAAAAGGATGAAAAAAACCCATTTGCTGAATCGCTTTTATCATTAAGAGGGAGATGCTCTGTAGCCGTGATATGCTTTTTCCAAATATTATGGCTTTTTCTGCTCTGCTCTGATATTTATTTTTTTTTTGTATTGTGTATATGCTCGATATTCAGCTTGCTGCGGTGCTGCCAAAATGCTGGAGTTACAGGAGTGTTTTGCTTCCATTTTCAGCTGTGGTGGATAGAAGAGGTACCTTAATTAACAAACCGGACGGTCAGACCGAAGTGCAAGCACAGTCTGTAAGGAAGAGGCAAGTACGGTATGTAAATTTTTCCTACTTGGAAATCTTCCCCAAAACTACGGTGTAGAATATATCTTTCTAGAAATGGGCTAGCTTCTAGTTTTGTTGAATGAGAAGGAAGTATTTATTTTTTAACTTTGTTTTTTGACAGAACTCCCTGTGAAAATGGCGGAAGCTCATCAGGCAGTAGCTTTTCAATTTACAGTAACTCCAGATGGGATTGACCTGCGAATGAGCCATGAGGCACTCAAACAAATTTACCTATCTGGTGTCTATTCATGGAAGAAAAAGTTCATCAGATTCAAGGTATGCCAAATTACTCAAATCCACTAAACCTGAGGGTTATTTAATGCTTTATAGATTTATTGGAGTTTTGTTAGGCAAAACTTTTTTTTTTTCTTTATGGCAAATGAAGTTCCTCATTGGGAAAGACTTGTGTAGGTTTTAGTTAATACAAGGGATACTGAAGAAAATAGCACTGAGTAATGCTGTAAAGACTGAAAGAGTACATGCTTCCACAGAATACATCAAAAACAAGATGAAACATGTAGGAATTAATAATAGCTTTAATTGACTTCATTCTCTTCATAACGCATCACGTAATTATATATTCTTTTAGCTTAAGTCAAAAATACAACTAATTGTGATTTTTTTTATGTCATATCTCTTAGAGGTACAAGACTACACTCTTTATTTTGGCAAAGAATATATAAAATCAAATTTGCAAATTAAGGAAAAGGTTTGCTGTTTTCAAAAAGTTGCCTGAGCGTCTGTCTTGTACAACTTATGCTATGTAGTATTGTTTCCAATGAGGTATTTGATATAAATCCTTGTGAACTTACTGTTTTGTTCATGAGATTATAAATGCTACTAACAAAACAAATACTTATCAATCTACATAAGCTACAGGCTATCTTCAACATCTCTTTCAAAAACATAAGCATATTAACAACAGTCTTTTATATGAAAATTACAATTTTCATATAAAACTAGCTATGAGGAGGACCATTTAAATTATAAAAAAAAAAAAAATCTTGATTCTAATTCTCAGTGTCTTGTTTGGTAAGAGAACTTAAAAGTTCCTTTAATTCTTGATATTAATGTGACAATTTTCTGTAGTAGTCAAACTTAACTAAATCCATTCCCTACTCCTGAGATCAGCGTATGTAAGAAAACGTTGGATAAGCTTAACTACTTGTTTAAAACTAAATGACTTAAATGTCTTTTCATGGTAATATGAAGTCAACCACTTTGGTATGAAAAAATTATGTGAAGACTTTTCTTTCCAGAATGGAATTATCACCGGCGTTTATCCTGCTAGCCCATCTAGCTGGCTTATTGTAGTTGTGGGTGTGATGTCAACAATGTATGCCAAAATTGATCCTTCCTTAGGAATTATAGCTAAAATCAACAAAACACTTGATACAACGTAAGTAGACAGAAAAGTTACTTTTCCTCTAAAGAGAAATCGGTTTTATTTGCAGATACTGTTAAAGCTATTCCTGTTTAAAATGTATCAGTTTTGGGATCTATGGTTGTGAGAGGGTAAGCCAAATAAACAGATGTATGAGGGTATGAAATAGGTAGGTTGTTATACCAGTATTACTGCATTGTTTTCTGAGTATTTGGGAAGCACATTTGGCAACTTTTGTGGCCTTTGATCTTGATGCATGAAAAGGTGTTTGGAAAGAAGCTTATGAAAAAAGGGGTAAGCAGGCATAAAGCTTGTGCAATGCCTGCCTGTAGTACCATTAAACTTAGGTTTGCCATATCAGCTTCTCTTTGGAACTTAAACAGACATTAACTGGCATGTGCTGGCTTTTGTTTTAAATAGTGGCTACATGTCAAACCAAACACAGAACATCGTGAGTGGAGTGCTTTTTGGCACTGGGCTTTGGGTTGCCCTTATTGTCACAATGCGCTACTCTCTGAAAATGCTGCTTTCCTATCATGGTTGGATGTTCTCTGAACATGGCAAGCTTACTACAGGCACCAAGTGTTGGATGGTAAGGATATGCTGTCTTCCTGTTTCATCTTAACTTCTGCCTTATTGGTATTCAAAGCCCTAAAAGAAAATCTTGTATTTTTTTCTCTACTTCTGTTTTCTGTGTCATGGGACAGGAGGCTGTTAGGCAGCTATTTCTACTAGTTACTGTCACCCTTCTGGTGCTGTAATTAAACTATTTTTTCTGACCTTATAGAAGGAAGAGTAAACACTTCAAGAATACTTCTAAATTTCCCAATGCCTTGGGACCGTGTGACTGAAATACCTACTTTTTCTCTGTGTGCAAGAATTTGGCCTGCAGCACCAAAGAATCTTGTCTTCACAGAAAGTGCTACCCCAATTCTTTGTTGAAATGTTAGGATTTCTGGTCATCCATTATAAAATTATTCTTATGCTTGAAGAAAATAATACTGAGTGTTCTTTCAATTGATTTACTGGTATGCCTCCAAAACAAGTTAGAGAAGAAGCATAAGGTGGAGGTGGCTTGTTATGCAGTTTTCATATAGGGGTAAGATGAGAGTGCTGTATCTCCTGTGGATTATTGTGGTGCTTTGGAAAAGGATTCTTTAAGGATATGATAGGAAATGTAGATACAGGTGCTGCAAGAGATGAAGTGGGGTTTTGCTGCTTGGTCTAAGTTGTTTCAACTCACTTTTGGCAGTATCATTGTAGAAATAACTGAAGTACCATACTATGATAAAACTAGTCTCTGCAGCCTCAAAAATTAACTGGTGTGCGTTAACCTAGGCACGTGTCGTGATTTACTATGAAATATGTTCAAGGACAGGTATCCAGAATGGTACACTAAAACAGAATTTAATGGTTGTCTGTTACAAATGAAATTTCTAATTGATGGTTTCTCCTGGAAGCGGTATCAGCCTCGTGACTTGAATTTGTACAGTCCAGAGGCTCTGAACGGTAAGGTTTTCTGTCAATTGCTTGAAGCTCTAGCTGCCTTGGTTTTCAGCATGTCCTACGAGATATTTTTAAAGCTCTTAATATTGCCTTATTGAACTTAAAAGAGTATGAACTGTAATGCTACTTACCATGCTTTGTTGCATATCATATTTATAAATTTCTCCTATCATATATGTTGCATATGTATTTTGTTGTGTATTATATATGTTTTAAGAATACAGAATGCTAAAGGTGTATGCTCAGCAGTCTCATCTATACTTACTATGAAAACTTATTTTAAGATCTTATTCTCTCTTTAACTAGACCAAACAAAAGAGAAGACTGATCTTGCTAGTTAAACAGCTCCAACTACCTTAGCTTTCCATATTTTTATAATATTTTTTATAATATGGTTTTCTGTTCAAATAGTTATGCCAGTCAAAAACCTGAGCTCTGATTTCAGTCACAGTACAACATGATTTTTCAGACTGGTTGGAAATCTAGTGACACTTCTAATGAACATATTTCATCTTCTAAAGTCAAATTTCCTGTACCAGTGGTAAGGGGAAAATGGAATTATTAGTTGCGGTTTTAAAAAAATTAAATAAATTATTTTAATTAGTTAAAAAATAGTAATCATCTGTGAACAGATGCAACATATGCTAGAATGACATTATTTACTGTGTCTGTGTATGAAATCAGATGTAATGAAGTGTGTGTGTCTGTCAGATCACTTTAATGGTCTCAAACTTTATAAATTTTCTGCTACAAGTTTGCTTAAGAGGTAAATACCATGAAATCTGTTTGCTGAATTTTGTCAGTTGAGCAGGTATTCTCTGTCTGAAGGTAACTTTAGCCTTTTCTGGCTTAGGAGTTCTGGAATAAAATTGTCTCCAAGTATGGAATTAGATTTTCATATGGAAAGCTGAGCTTTTTCTTTCCCACCTGGTTTCAAATTTATCTTGTCATGAAGCACAAACAGATTTTATTGGGCCGATCACTGTGGTGCATCTGTGTACATCTGATGGCTCTCTCATACAGATCCATTTGCAAGGAGGTCTTTCTTGCTGGTGATACTCTGCAATTCTTAAGAGTTTTGTGCTGCTTGAAATAACCTCCTCTAGAAGTGCTGATCAAGGAAATTGAGAGGGAGGAAACACTCTACATTTTAACTAATAGTTTTGTCAGTTGAACAGGAGACAGAAGGGAGAAGTTTTCGGAATTTAGCAGTGAAATTACGTCCTCTGTTTTCTTCTGTCTTTAGTCTGTTGGCTCATATACAATATATGACATAATATATTGGACCAAGATTTAAAGGTTCCACTGGATTGCTGGAATAATGCTTAACCTCACTTTCATGCTGAAATAGGGTGACACTGTCAAAATCCTTTCATGTGTAACCTAGAACTTGCATGGTTTAGACTTTCAGCCTACTGTGTGCTGCAGCTGAAAAGTAGTTGTAGACAGAAATGCTGCTTCTGTTTTCGGTCTCCTGTGGAACACAGGAGGTGCTGTAACATCTGAAGCTAAGTCATCTCTGGCTTTTTTGTTTTGGGTTGTAACACAAGCACTGAGTATAACGCTGGCATGCTTGCACAATTTTATATGTTCAAATCATGTAGCAGACTAGCAGAGATATACTTATGCTTGAATTAATTCCCTGTGATATCAATCCTATTGTTGATGTTGAGCTATAACTTTGGAAAACATTAAACCATGATACCAAAGCATAATTAGTGGTTTTGAAGGTGGCTATAGTTACCTAGAAACCTTGGCTGAGTGACAGTCTTGATTCCTGTTTTGAAGTGCAGTACAGGTATTTTTGTAGTATCTACTATGTAGTATAGTAAAAGATCAACCGGTAGACTTGTTTTTTTAATCTTTACAGAGGGGAATATATGAAGAAAAGAAGTGCTAAGTAACTGTCTTTATTTTCTACTGAGATCAAGATGTGCCATACATAAAACAGCATTATTGTCTAATGACAAGAAAATTGACTGGAAAGTCAGAAATTACTATAACCATCTTTGTCTTCCACTGACATATTGTTTAACCTTTAGGGAGTTAGTTTCCGTCAATGCCTTTTTTATTTGTGAAACAGTGATAAATATGCTAGTCTCCTAAATTTAGTACAATATAATTTACCACTGAAAAGAACTGAGTTACATTACACTTTTACTCTGTAATTTTTCTTTTGCTGCACCTAATAATTTGTGGTGTTTATTTTTGCTTTTCTTCAGGCCCTTGTAAAACTGTTCTCAGGACGTAAACCCATGTTATACAGTTTCCAGACGTCTTTACCACGATTGCCAGTTCCAGCTGTTAAAGACACAGTCAATAGGGTGTGTACATTCACTGATTTATTTTATTCAGTAACACTGAATCCATATTTAGATGGGGGGGGTTGCCATGTCTTATAGAAGTATTGCATGGCAGTATTAATATTGTGTGATGGATTCAAACTTCTGCATAGAAATTAAAATAAAGGCTGTGACAAACCACTGAAACTGGTGACAGTTTGGAGCCAGTGTAATTCATATTGGATGGCATGAAGTCAGTTGTTGTAAGACTGTGCCACAAAGTGTGATTTCCAGGGTTTTGGAGCATACCACTTTTATTGTCTTCCACAGGTTGAACAGGTAAATGTGTGTGTTATGACACACAGCCTTACAGCAAAGTGTGTAAGTATGACAGTATGTCACAGAAACTGAAGATTTCATTTTTAGAGATGAAAAAAAATCTACCTGTATATCTTCCCCTCTTGAGTGGAAAATATATCTTTAGAAAAGTAACCTCTTCCACTTGTGGTTTGCTGAAAAATGTCTGGAAAAGTATCTTATTTTTTGAAGTTTGCAGCAGACATTTAGAAGAGCATACACTCTTATTTTAGAACTGTAGTATTTGCAGCCTCATGGGTTGAGACTGCAACCATGATAGTGTTTATTTGCTGTTAAAATGCTTTAGTAGGAATGGTGAGAAGCTACTTATTTGTTACTGTACTGATGCTGATTCTTTTCCTGTATTCTAGTATCTGGAATCAGTTCGGCCACTAATGGATGATGAAAAGTTCAGAAGAATGGAGGGTCTGGCCAAAGACTTTGCATTTAATTTGGGACCAAGGCTTCAGTGGTATTTGAAGCTAAAATCCTGGTGGGCCACCAATTATGTGAGTGTATAAATAGAAAGCTCAATTGTTCAAATGACATTATTTGTTCCCTGTTGCCCTTTTTGGCTTAAACTTCATTATTTCTTAAATGCAAAAGAAGGGAATTGAAACTGCCTAATATTTTTGTAAAGTATGTGTGAGACCACCTGATTTTGCACATAAATAATTTGTGTGATTTGGTAAACAGTGTGGTGAATGGAACTTGAAAAAGCGAATCCTTATTTTGTGTTTGTTATTCTGGAGCAGGTGATTTAGCTTTTGCTGTTAGGATGGCTTTTGGGGTCTTTTTATTTACTTGTTGAGCTTGATAACTCAGCAATGGGTCTGGCTACCCAGATAGTTTAGAAGAGTCATTTAGGCCAATTTTGTGATATAGAGCAGCTGAATCATATAGAAGAAAAATGAAGAATTGTAATAATATTGTTGTTGCTCTGTTCTTTCTTTTTTCTTTTTTTTCTTACCAAAAAGAAGACCCAAACCCCAGCATCTTAGTGAGAACTGTAACATAATTCCTTTGTGATATATTATGAAGCATATATCTGTACCCAGTAGCCTAAGCTGTCCTGGCAAAGGCTGCAAAGCATTCAGGAGATCTGATACATTTTAAAATATTGTCTTGAGATCGTGACTTCTTTGGAACCTTATCAGAGAGCTACAGCTGAATTTAACTTAATTCTCTCACTGCTCTTTTTGCTGTTTTCCCTGAAGTTTGACAGAAATTAGGGGGGGGGATTGTCTTTTTTTAAGTAGGGAGGCAAATTAGAAGTTTCCTTCCTGCTTCTGTACGGAATGTTGTCTTGTGGAGCCATTAACCTAAAAACAAACTGTGGAAATTATGAGATTTTACTGCTTTTGTTTTCCTTCCTCCTTCAGGTTAGTGATTGGTGGGAAGAATATATCTACCTTAGAGGACGTGGACCAATTATGGTTAATAGTAACTACTTTGCAATGGTAGGTAAATACTTATAAACACCTTATGTGTCAGGCACTAACATTTCTGCTAGGTGTCTTACTTTGTGATATCCTTCTGCTTAGAAATCCATTGCCATTTAGTATGGAACATTCATTTTCCTTTCTTTAATATAGTCTGCAGCCAATGCCTTCACGTACATTCAGGTACCTTGAGTACTTGAAGTACTTTAAGTACATCTGTCTTAATAACAAACCTAGCACATCTGCCACTTTGGCAAACTCATACAGTAATTACTTACATGTTTTTGTGCTTATTGCAGCAAGCACTCTTTCAAAAGCTCCATGTAAAACTGCATGGGTAACACAATTCAAAGGAGATGTGTGCTCATACGTGCAAATGTCTGTAAAGGAAGTGAAAAAACATGGTCTTGGATCAAGTTTTACGTAGCATTGTCTTTTCTGCTGGAATGATTAACAGCTGTCATGTATGTTTTAATACTGATGCTGTTTATGAAGACAATGACTGCTGAACAAATTCAAGTTTCAAGTCATCAACTCGCTGCATTAGTGCATTCCATATCTTTTGAAACCTTATATATATTTTCCAGAATAAACTTTTAAGAATGTGGATGAAAAGTACTGTCAGTAGTGTTTTTCAAATAAAGTCAGGTAATAATTAACTTATGATTCTTATCTACTTCACAGGACTTCCTTTCTTTACGTCCCACAACTCTGCAGGCAGCTAGAGCTGGTAATGTTATCCATGCCATCCTGCTCTATCGGAAAAAACTGGACAGACAAGAACTCAAGCCAGTACGTATATCAGTTTAAATGGCTTTTGATCTCTTTCCAGTCTCTTTCCAATGACAGGTTGATCACCGTTCAGAATGGGAGAGGAGAGGAATTCTTATTGTTAGAACTATATGTAAGATGTAACTAATTTTTGTGGTCCCATGTCATCTTTGTTATCTCTTCAATTACACGCAGGCACAAAATAGCAACTATCAAAAATACAGGATTCTGTTATGCCAAGTAATTGCAGTATTTGAAGTTAGCATCGTCATTACGCAAAAGACAAATAGAGGCTTGTATTTACCTATGTCAAATATTCTGTATAACTGATATTATTGGTATGTGTTAAGCCTGTAATGGTACTTTTGAGCCACTGAAGGATGAAAAGTCTGTGGTACCATGTGGTGTGAGCACATGAGGTTTTGGGACAAAGGACTGGAGGCCTCTTGATGCCAAGAGTGGGCCAGTGGGAGCTTAAGCATAGATGGTGATAAAATCCTGTGTTGCATTAATTTCTAGGTAGCAAAGATAGGCAAGGTAAATCCCATCCTGAGTTTCTATTATGTCCAGTGGCTGTGTATTGTAGTGAACAAGTGTTGTGGAAACAATTAAGTAGTTTTGTTCAAGGTCATGGCAAGGATGTGATTAGTTGTATGTAACTACAAATCTGAGAAATGTGAACTTTTGTTCCTACACAGCTATAAATAGTTTTAAAATAAGAAATTAAGGGGTAATGAATGCTGCATGTGTAAGTTTTGCATCCAGACCAGCCACTGAGAGGTTTTTTGGATTTCAGATGCTAGCTAGCTTCAGTCATCCCTCCTGAAGAGTGAACTTTTGGTAGGAAGGAAAAGAAATAGTACTACTGGAATGTTCTTGGAATCTTCCACGTGTAGTTCAAGGAAAAAGGATGAACAGGGAGAAAAAAAACAAAACTGAGTTGATGTATTATAAATCTTATTATTCTGCAGCCTGTCTTTAGTCAGATCCTTGTTATTTTCTTTGCTTTTTTAATTTTCTAATTGTATATGCAAAATTACATTTTAATGTACATTTGTGTCACAGATTCTTCTGATGGGATCTACTGTTCCACTTTGTTCAGCTCAGTGGGAAAGGATGTTTAATACTTCCCGTATCCCAGGAGAGGAATCAGGTAAGCAAGCCCAGCCGAGGAAAATAAATACTGTAATGGAGTTCAGGGTTTGGGATCTTTTCTGCCAGAATCCCATTTTTCCACATAAGGATCTGACTGACACAAGTATACATCAAATACTGTTTTCCAAGAATCAGGAAGTAATGAAGTGCTATAGAGTGCTTAGATGTTTTTCGTATGTTACTCGCTCTTATGTTTCAAACTGCCTTTGAGCATGTTGCTCCCACTCAAGTACAGAATTCAAAACAGAGTTTCTAAAGAGACACAGGGATGTGCCCATTCTTTGTCCCACATTTGCTGTACTGTAAGAAGTTGGATAAAGGGGAAAAGTGGCATTGGGTAGTGGATAAAGCAGTAGGTGTGCATGTGTTGGATAATACTTTGCTCTCAGTTCTGCTGCTGCCCTTTGCTAGTTTATTGAGGAATTTTTTTCCAGCTGTGCCTCAGCTTTCTTTATCTGCAAAGTGAAGACAAACACATCCCTGATGTGATTACTCCCTGTCACAAATTAGTAGCTTAAATGGACGAGCAAGGTTTTAAATCTCTATTGGACATCTGTAGTGTATAAGCTATTGTTATTTAGAGTACTTCAAGTACTGAAAGTGCACCCCTTGCCCTTTCCCTATCCTCAATAAAATAAAAGGTATAAATGGTTTGCATTTAGCTTTGGATTTGGTGTTCCTTTAATTTAAAATGAGTTTTGCATAAAAGTGTAGAAGTGGCTCGTTCTAACTAACACCTGATTAAAATACATTCTGTATGTCTTAATGGTTCTCCTCAGTTTCTCCTGATTCAAGTCTTTCAAATTAACCTACAGTCTGTATCATAAAAATTAGCTTATTTTTCTCCTAAGCACTTCACATTTTCTGTTTCACTTTTTTCCATTTTCTTTGTTTCTGTTTTTCTAAAGGACAAACAACTTTGTCATTCTGTATGAATATGTGAGTTACAAGGACATTTTTCTCACATTCTCATGAGTATCTTGATTTCTTGCCCCCTGATTTCAATTTTTCTATGTATATTACAGTTCCTAAAGAAAAAAAAGGAAAAAATTCCATAGCATGACTTCATATTAATTGATGGTAAAATCTTTTTCTGTCACTTGAGCAGTTGTTTCATCTTCATGTTTTTTAGCAAAACATACTATGGGATGAACTACTTCTTCTAAGAAGGAAAGAGCCTTTATGTCTTTCCATTCCCATTTTTTAGTAGGAATTCCATGCAGCATGTTATGTACATCTTCAAATGTACCTAAATGGTTTCTTGGACTAGCAAAACAAAAGGATTTTTTTGTTTTGCAACAAATGTGTATTCCAGGTGCATGAATCTGTATTTAGGCCTATATAAGTAAAGGTGTCTAAAGGTAAGTGCCAGGGCTTAACAACTGTTGTGAAGTCAGTTGTTGATGTAGATGACTGGTGATCTCAGTTTTGCTTTTTACACTCGTGAGGTTGTCTTTTTTAGTATGGACACAAAAGGTACAAGTACTTGCAGTGTCCTGACTCAGGTTGGGATTACTGAAAAATTTACCTCATTAGCTGATTGCTTTGCTGCTTTCCCAGCCCCCCCATCAGGGGGATCTTCTCAATTCACAGCCCATTGTATTAATGCAGTTGACACTTGGAGTGATACTTCTACCAGACCTCTAGTTGGCAGAAATGCAACATGGATAGCCAGAGGCACAATTAGCACAGTGCTGCTTCTGATAAGTAGATTGAGCATACCTACCAAAACCTGATAGTTAACTGAGAACAGCTGAAGTAATGAACTCTTGTTTCTCAGATCTCTCAGAATCATGATTTTTAGGCTCAGCCTTTATTTTTGACATCTTTCTTCACCATCTCAATAATGGGTCTTTTCAGATTCATAGGAATATAACAGTTCTTTGGGGTAGTGAAGGAATTCAGTTAACAGTTTTCATCAGTTACAGGCTTTTTCTGTCTGCTTTGGAAACCTTCACCTGTGATTTGATACAATGCCTTCATGACTAAATTTTGGCTTATCCCAGTTAAACCATATAAATAATAAAATGAGAAAAAATTGTGGTTCGGTTTTTCTGCTTCACTGACATCCATAACATTAAACATTTTGACCATATATGGAGTGTTCACTCTGCCTCTACCAGGATAAATGTGAACAAAACCTTATGGTACTAAATTTTGGGTCTCTTAAGGCTCTTCACAGATTGTACCATGAGTTGTCTAGCACTTCAATGGAGATGATTTAAAAGTACCTGTCCTCAGATTCATCTAGCATGTTCTTTTGCTGACTGCTTTATCAGACTACACTACTAGTGCTCAATTTTCAGATAGAAAAATGCAGGTCTTGTTCCTTAATACTAACCTCCAGCGTGGAAACTGGTGGTGCTATGTGTGCAAATGGTTGTCAGATCTGGGTATTTGACTGTTTCGTGCAGGAATATTTGTGATGAAATAACATGGGATGCTGAAATAACTAGTAGTGCATGCAGCAGGCATTTGATGTTATATAGTGCATTACTGTTTTGAGATCTCAGCTTTGTTTTCACATAAGTGATTGCAATTCTAGATACTCTCCAGCATGTGAAAGACAGCAAACACATTGTTGTGTATCACAAGGGCCGTTACTTCAAAGTGTGGCTGTACCATGATGGCAGACTCTTGAAACCCCGAGAAATTGAACAGCAGATGCAGAGAATTCTTGATGATGATTCAGAGCCTCAGGCTGGCGAAGCGAAACTTGCAGCTCTTACTGCAGGAGATAGGTATGGTGGTTATTTTTTAGACAAATTTAGTGTTTAGAAATAGTTACATAACATGCTAACTGAGTACTGGCTTTGGAATTTTAGAATAGTCTGCAGTCAGTTCCTTGTACATTGGTCACTTACTTTGTATACTGCTGATGTGTAACAGTGCTTCAGTCATTTGTAACTATGTGGAGGTAAAGGAATTTTGCAGTGACAATAAGTAATATGGATTACTTATCTGGAGAAGTTGGTTTAATTGTGGCAGTCAAAAGAGTGGTTTTTGAAAGCTTTACAGTGCTACACATATTGAACTATTTGAGTTCAATAGCTTTATGTCTACGCTGAGGTTCATTGGCATTTTAAAGAATATTTTAAAAATTATGATTGAGAATGAGAATTCAGTAACTGTTACTCCATGTTCATGACTTGCACCTACACAATAAAGCAGTATGTACTCGGTTCTAGGTACAAGATCACTGAATGCAACTAAATTGTGGCAAACTCTGTCAAATTGTTTCTGGACAAGCGAGAAAGAGCTGTGGATTTTAATATACTTATGTACTAGGAGTACTTCCTTTTGTTCACTTTCTGCTTTAAAACAAACAGGTTTTTTTTTTTTTTCATTGGAAAAATCACATAAATTTAGAAGTAAACATGGTGCAACCATATAGAAATTACATTGATCAGGACTTCTTTTGCTTCAGATTTGTTGGACTTATTTATTGACTTTTTTATAAGAGTCCAGACTTTTTAGGTGTTGTAACAATGGGCATTAATATCTGTTAATTGCTTTCATTGTGTGTAGAAATGTTGAATTTCTGAGGATTAAGCTTTGCACGTGTGTGATAAATTGAATTGGTTCCTAGGATTACACTGTATGAGTATTTTCAGAACTTTTCACTGCTCATATAGCTTAAATGCATTGAAAGTAATTGTGTCAAATTCTGTAAAACTAGGAGGAATCTCACAGTGATCTTCAGGGTGATGAAACATTCACACGTTTATGTAATCTGGCTATAAACCAATGTGGTTTTTTTTACAGAGTACCATGGGCTAAAGCTCGTCAGGCTTATTTTAGCCGTGGAAAGAACAAACAGTCCTTAGATGCTGTTGAGAAAGCAGCATTCTTTGTGACATTGGATGACCTCGAGCATGGGTACAAGAAAGAAGATCCAGAGAGGTCACTGGATGCATATGCAAAATCATTAATACATGGCAGATGTTACGACAGGTGCAGTATTGCTTCTGTGGAAAATGCCTTCTCTTTTTTAGAATTTGGCCAACACATGCGAATCAGCGACTTAAAAGTTGATAAATTTCATAGAGTTCACAGAATTGTTTGGGTTGGAATGGATTTTCAAAAATAACTGGTTCCGACTCCTCTTGAAATGGGAAGGGACATCTTTCACTGCATCAGATTGCTCAAAGTCCAGTCCAGCCTGATGCTGAACACTTCTAATGACAAGAAATCCACAACTTCTCTGGACAACCCATTCCAGTGTCTCACCACCCCATTGTAAAAAATATTTCTCTGTTATGATGCATTGAAATTTACCCTCTTTCAGTTTATGTCTGTTGCCATGTGTCCTGCCGCTATGAGCCCTTGTAAAAAGTCTTTCTTAGCTTTTCTTTTAAGCCCTAAATAAAAGATATTGAAAGGCTGCAAGGTATTCCTAGAGCCTTCTCTTCTTCAGACTGAACAACCCCAACTCTCAGCCTTTTTTCATGGGGAAAGTATTCCACTGCTCTTACCATTCTTATGACATTCTTCTGACCCACTCTAACAGGTCTGTGTCTGTATTTGCTGGGGACCCCAGAGCTGGAGGCAGTGCTCCAGGTGGGGTCTCACCAGAGTGGAGTAGAGGAGGAGAATCACTTCCTTCTAAGTGATTCTTAAGCACACCCGGACATGATTGTCTTTCTGGGCTGCATGTGCACATTGCCAGCTCATGTAGACTTTTTCATCAACTGATATCCCCAAGACCTGCTTGTCAGGGCTGCTCAATCCATTCATCCCTCAGCCTGTTGATACTGGGCATTGCCCTGACCCAGGTGCAGGGCCTCATATTTGGCCTTGTTGAACTTCATGAGGTTCAAATTTAGGTCTTTTTATTTAAATAAAATGTTATTTAAAAAAAAAAAGGTTGAGAACTAATGCATTTTAATGTGAATTTTGGAGAGAGATGAAGTTACAATATAAAAATGCTTTGGAAATGTACAAAACCGTAAGGAAATACTGATTTCTTTTGTAGGTGGTTTGACAAAACATTCACTCTCATAATATTCAAGAATGGCAAAATGGGTCTGAATGCAGAGCACTCCTGGGCAGATGCTCCTATTGTTGGACACCTGTGGGAGGTAGGTGTTTAGTACCAAAACCTAATGTGGAAGATAATGTGATATGGTCTGTGCAACAGTGCTGAAGATCAGCAATTACTTTCAATCCCTTGCATTCATGTTGCTGATGAGTGATCAGGGGCCTATGTCTGTAGCAACTGTAGAATTTTAAAAATATCTCCAACCCTTGCTTAAAAGGATGTTGTCCTTTGAAGGGCAGCATTTTAGTGAGCATAGATGTCTTCATAGAAAAGTGATACAGCTTCCAATCTAACATGTTTATAATATTTTAAATCCATAGATTGTCGTCTCTTTGATATGGCATTGTAATTTATGTATATACGTGCTCCTGAAGCCCTTAAGCTTCCTTGTGCTATAGAAATCTCACTCTTACTTTCAAAATTTAAAGAAATTATACAGAATTTAACTTTTCCTCTAACCTGTTACTTGATCAGCTGCAGATTGATATGCTGTTTACATTATCTCTTGTATTTATTAGCAATGAGTGGAATAAATGCACTTTGTCATGTCTGTTCATCATGAGCTTAGTTTATTACTTGAAATCCTATTTGATTTTTTTTTATTTTATTTTTGAAGCTTAAACCCATAAACAGTTGCATGACTCAATCAAAACTATTTCATAAACATTAGTTCGTTCTGATTTCATATGTATTTGTGCAAATTGGTCCCAGGTCTAACTGGTCCCTCCAGTAATTTCCTAGTTTTACTGTAGAAGCACTTTCATGTCTGTAAGAACAAAAAAAAAAATTTCCTTGCACTCTCTAAGGAGGGAAAAAAGAAGGTCAAACTGATTTGAGAGTGACTTGACAGTTTAGACTGTCTCAATGAAAGAGACTTTCATTTTTTTACTTCTAGAGGGTTTTTAATTGAAACATTTTGATTAACTCAGTAGCAATTAACAAAATGCATCAGTGTAATTGAATTGTTTGGTGCATATCTGGTGTTCTTCCCACTCAGAACACAAATAAAAATGCCTTAAAATAAGAGGTAAAATTGAGGACTTCATTTGCAGTTGTTTTCTGTATTTGGAAATGGCTTGTATATTGTATTTCACTGTATACTGAAAATAGGTTATATTGATTTCACAAGGAAATCCTAATTCCACAGCAATACATATTGTGTTGCAATTCTGAAGAAGTATCATTCTTTGCAGAATGTGATGGCAACTGAGTATCTGGAACTGGGCTATTCAGAAGATGGGCATTGCAAAGGAGATACCAATCCAAATATTCCTATTCCCACCAAACTACAGTGGGAAATACCAGAAGAAGTAAGTACAGAAGAAGTGGTTTGAGGAAGAAGCTTCTCTTTTCCTAAGCAGTCATATTATTTATGTAATTACTGGTAACCCTATAAATCAGCTATAAATTCCTATGAGTTCTGTAGGATGTGTAGGCATTACTCAGTTTACTTATAAAGTCAGGGTTTTTTTAACATCAAGCTTTCTTGGTTGGCAATATATCAAAAAAGTGACTATCTATTTTAAATAATAACTGTATTAAAATTAAGTGTAAGTTGCTGAGATTTCGTTACTGTTGTCACAACAAATACTCATCTAATAGTTCCCTGAAACTACCTGTCTTTTTTTGTGTTCAAAATTCTGTATACCTGCCTAATAAGGTTTGTTTGGGGTTTTTTTTCCCTGAGTTCAGGACAAACTGCCACTGCCTGTTTTGATTTTAATTTTGAATAAAAAAATAATGGTTGATGATGTATTTAATTAGGCATGTATGGCAGCTTGGAAGTCATACAGCTATTGCCATTCTGTATCTGTGGGTCATTCTTTTATGTTCTGGTGATCTAAACAGTTTTAATGCTGGTGATTTTTAAAGTGTTATTTTTGGACGTACAGTGGCTTAAAACATTTTTATTAGCTTTTTGAATTTTAACTTCGTGGAAAAATAGCTTCTCTTCTTTCTCTAAAGGGAAATTATTTAGGTAGTGATGTTCCTGACATGCATAAAGGCAGCATTTCTTATTTATCAATTAAAAATACTTGCAATTGAATGCATGAGTGTATGCATATAGGTGTGTGTAATTATTTGTTTCTTTATTTAAGTGTCAAGAAGTGATTGAGAGGTCTCTGAGCACTGCCGTAGCTCTGGCAGACGATGTGGACTTCTGTTCATTTTTCTTTGAAACTTTTGGAAAAGGACTAATAAAGAAAGCAAAAACCAGCCCTGATGCCTTTGTGCAACTTGCCCTGCAGCTTGCTCACTATCGGGTAAGAACAGACTGTTTCTGCCTTACAGAATCTCATTAAATTGGGTAAAAAATATTTGTGATTGAAACATGTGACTGGGTAGAGTAATCTCGTGCTGCTTGTGCAAGGTTGTTAAAGATGTTCAGTGGAAATTGATAAAAACCCTAAATGGATTACTAGCTGGAAATGACTGCTCCAAGGACACGTGGAGATTTTTCTCTTCTTCTTAGCTGGTCTATCACTGGGCATTTGGAACTTGAAAGAAGATATGAAACTTCTAGTAGCTCTGTTTATAACCTGAACAATGTTATAGGACAATCCCTAACAGGATTAACAAAAACGCCTACCTGTGTTTTCTTCTGCTGTTCACCTTTTCTGTAACGTGCTTTCAGTATAGAAACATTCAGCTTCTGTTATAAACTGAAAAAGATTGAATATAAAATGCAAATAGTAGTCCTTGCTAGTTTGATTGTTCTATTAGCGTTTATCAGATCATGCTGCTAATCTTATTTTTGCCTTTATTATATTCAGATCGGAGGGCTAATGATAGGCTACTAAAACCTTGAGTTTAATTTGTGGAATGATTTATATCCTGTGTGTTTAGCTTGGACTATTGATTAAGAAAGGGGGGCTTTTTTTCTTAAACCTTTAAGTTCTTAATTTTCCCTTTTTCAAGGACATGGGAAAATTTTCTTTAACATATGAAGCCTCTATGACACGCTTATTCAGAGAAGGCAGGACTGAAACTGTTCGTTCGTGTACTGTTGAGTCATGTAAATTTGTTCAAGCCATGGAAGACCCAACTGAAAGTGTAAGTCTATGGTGTTGTTGCCTTATACAATTGGGAGAGTAGGTTTAGATTGGATATTAGGAATAAATTATTTACTGTGAGGGTGGTGAGACAACGGAACAGGCTGCCCAGAGAGGTTGTGGATGCCCCATCCCTGGAAGTGTTCAAGCCCAGACTGGATGGGGCTCTGAGCAACCTGGTCTAGTGAAGTGTGTCCTTGCCCACAGCAGTGGGGTTGAAATGAGATGATCTTTAAGGTCCCTTCAAACCCAGTCACTCCATGATTCTGTGGTAATTCATAAGCGCATGAGTTATCACTGGACAACTGTGTAAGTCCTCAAATAGTTTTTATACGCTTGTAGTGATGCTTTTGGTTTTTTAGGAAGGAAGTGCAGCATAAGGTAATTGTCCACATTTTCTGTCAATACAGCAGAAATTCTAGGCCATACCAAAAGAGAATGGCAGAACTTAACCATTAGTTACAGTTCCTGAACTTCAGGAAACTGTGATTACTTGTGAAAATTTTGTGACTTGTAAAACTCTAACACAGATTTGTAGAACAAGTAATTTCATACCAGTTAAACTTTCCTTTCTGAGAGGGAAGCAAGAATCATTCACAGGAAGTAAGTAGTTGCTCAACCCAGTTCACTTAACTGATTTTTCTTAACCTTTTTTTCACTGTTAGAATGAAAATAAGCTGAAATTCTTTCGGCTTGCTGCTGCCAAACATCAGCTCTTATATCGTCTTGCCATGACTGGTGCTGGCATTGACCGCCATCTGTTTTGCCTTTATGTCGTGTCCAAGTACCTTGCGGTGGATTCTCCTTTCCTTAAGGAAGTAAGTGACTTTTATTGATAAATATTCATTACAGTAAAAAATCCTTTGTTTAATTAGTGTTTTGCTGTAGCTGCTTTACGTACTTGTAGAGCTCTGTTTTTTCTAAGAAAAAAGATAGCATTGTAGGTAGCATTTTTTCACATCTGCTGGGAGATTGTAAGTTTCATTTTGTTTTATGTATACATTTATTATATTTCAGTGAGCTTTGTAGTATAATCACCTTGAATATTGTGTGCAGTTTTGAGCACCACAATATAAAAAACCTATTAAGAGAGCATCCAAAGGAGGGCACCAAAGATGGTGAAGGGCCTTGAGGGGAAGCTGTATGAGCGGCTTAGTTTGTTTATCCTGGAGAAGGGGAGACTCAGGGGACACGTCACTGCAGTCTACAACTTCCTCATGAGGGGAAAAGGAGGGCCAGGTACTGATCTCTTCTCTGTGGTGACCAGCGACAGGACCCAAGGGAATGACCTGAAGTTGTGTCAGGGGAGGTTTAGGTTGGATATTAGGAAAAGGTTCTTCACCCAGACTGTGCTTGAGCACTGGAAAAGGCTCCCCAGAGAAGTGATCACAGCACCAAACCTGACAGAGTTCAAGAAGCATTTGAACAACACTTTTAGGCACATGGTGTGACTCTTGGGGATGTCCTGTGCAGGGCCAGGAGTTGGACTCGATGGTCCTTGTGGGTCCGTTCCACCTCAGCATATTCTGTGATTCTCTGATAATACGTGTTATTAAGAATTGCTAGAAAGATATAGTATTAAAAAAAATATTGTTTGCATGTGGTTTTTACATATTTTCAAGGCAACACAACAGAGGCTGTGTGTTTTGTCTCAAGAACATTCTTTTGGAACTGTGACAAATTCACTTTAAGTTATTATAAGATAAAGGAGCTGTATATGGCATTAATGTCACAGTTTATTTCCGTGACAAATTTATTACTTAAACTAGATTTTAAGATTGGGTTTTATAAAAATAATTACATTGCACGTATTCATTTTTTCTGATTAATAAAGAATGACTTCCAGCTTGCCTCAAAATTAATCTACTCATGTTTACCTGTTTGCTCTCCTCACATTTACCTGTTTGCTCTCCTAAATGTGACTGGTGGCTAAGTCAAGAATAAAACAACTTTCTACATATTGCACAGACTTTCAAGATACATCTGTATTGTTAGATATTTTACGAGCTTCTAACTTAATGTAGTATCTTACTGGGAATTGAATATGGATAGTAATGATCTTGTTAAAACAAGACCTGTTATGCATTATTTACCAGGCTATCAAACAGATAATCTTGTTTGAAGTAGCATTTCTATTCAAATTTTATTTTATTCTCTTTAAAGAATTGGCATCACTACCTCATATATTAATATCAGGACACATTTGCCTGTTTCTTTTAACCTTCTTAATTGTTCATTCTGTTGAAATGGGAACTGGAGTTATCCTTAATATTGCTTTATTGAGTGCTTTATCTTAACTAGTTTTTGAGAAGGTTGCGTATTCTTAAACAGTGTGTTATACTTGTTTGCGTCTCTTTCATATCTAATGAAGGTTTTGTCAGAACCTTGGAGGCTGTCAACGAGTCAGACACCACAGCAACACATTGATCTAAAGAAGAACCCTGAGATGTTATCCTCTGGTGGAGGATTTGGACCGGTATGTTTGCTAAATACAAACATTATTTAGCAAATAAATACAAAATAAACTAAATACAGTACCCATTGAAAGAGTTTTTAGTTTCAATATGCCAGTTTAAAAATTTCAGATCTGTAATACCCTAATATTGCACATCAGGGTGCAACTTTACGCTTTTAAATGCATGTGTTTAATGCTTTGCTCTGATCTGGATGTGCTCAGAAAAATTTGTGTCACCTTTTTCTGGTATCCTGCTACAAAAATGGATTGTTCTTAAGGAAATATGTAGTTACAAAATGTGGTATGGGGCTCCATGGCAGAGAGATCTGATAAAAATGGGGGTTTTGTCATATTACCTGTGCCCAGAGCTTCTGTACATCAGACTGTCCATCACTGTGAGCACATTGCAATAACAAATGCCTTATTACTTAAAATAGATTTTAAGGTTGGGATTGATAAAAGTACTTATTCTTGACTTGTTCTTTATATTTCCTGATGGATTAATAAATGTGTTCATCCCTTCCTTTAGATTAAGCTGCTCACATCGTTCCGCTTTCCCTCCTAAGTGTGAATAGCGGCCAAGTCAAGCATGCATCTGTGTTCTACAACTTCTGTAGACTTTCAAGAAACTAGTGTATTGTTAGAGATATTACCAGCTGCTTACTTGCTGCCATATTTTATGGGGATTTGAACTTGGTCATTGGTGATCACATTGATGTTAAGAAGATCTATTAAGCAGACTTTATGGTGCTTTAAGACTGTTTTCAAAAACCATTTATATTGAAAGAACAATGAGAGGAATCACCAGACTGCTCTTTGTCACACAGAAATTAGGGTGATAGAGTGTATTTTGGGCAATTTGTCAAGCTGGAAGAGATGGGCAGTTTTTAAATTATTATTACTTATTTAATCTTGTTTCTGATACAGGTTTCAGTAGTTTATGAAGTTGGAATGAGTTTGAATTGCAGTATCAAGGAAGCCTAGCTATTGCAATACTGCTTATTCTTGAGAAACTGGCTTATTCCAGCAGATTATAAAGTCAGTATTCAGAATCCCCAGATGTGATCTGGCAATAGAATAAGGGTTTGGCTGCAGGAATTTCTAGCACGTTTTTCCTTTTGTTTTTGCTAAAGGTACATTAACTGATGCCTTCTTACTATTTCTTTATTCCTTTAATTTCCTTCCTTCTGTTGTCTACATTTCCAAACAACCCTGCTTATATTTCCCTTCTTGTGTTCTTAGAAGAACTGTGCTTTTGTTTGCTGAAGTAGCACAGAGATTCAGTGCATCAGCTTCTTGGACTTAGGGGTTTTTTTAAGCATTCTGTAGAACTTATTCCTGTAGTAGTAATGATGAGAAGGCAATCAGGCTGCTTGGCAGCAGTGGCAACAAAGAGCTGGAAGGTTGTGATCCTTTGAGTTAGGAAAGAGACAAAGAAGGGTGAAAACAGGATAATTTGTGTTTACCAGGCGTACTTTGAATATAACATCAGACTGAAACTTGGGACAGTTAATGCTACTAATGTTGAAATTGGACAAGACCTCTGCTCATGATGCAGGTGTTCAGAATCATATATTTGCTGTAGAGTCAGATGACTTTGCCTTTGGGCAGGTTTTCATAATACAAGGCTTTTATACTCCATATTTATGTATCATATTTGTTTACATTGGCAGAATGATCCCATGTTTAGGTATACAACTGAACTATTTTATTCCTTTCTGCTTAAGCACTGAATCTGTGCAGCTGCTTAGGACCAGACCTTGATAAGAGAAACTCCTTGAACAAGTATTTTATTTCAAAATACCAAAGCAGGGAAATATTACAGACAAATATTCAGAAAATATTAATTTCACACACTTCAGATAAGACTAGAACTATTCCTCAAGTGGAAATCAGTCTTAAAAAATTATCCATTAAATATGGAATCTTGAGTTTTGCTTGAGGAGAAATTGCAACTGATTTTAAAAACTACACAGTAAGAACTCTTTAATTATGTATAAGTTGATTCGGGAATGGAAGGAAAAAGAAGTTTAGAACTTGTTTTTCTCTTCTTTCTTCCCATAGGTGGCTGATGATGGTTATGGTGTTTCTTACATTATCTTGGATGAAAATTCCATTCATTTCCATGTCTCCAGCAAAATATCTTGTTCTGAGACGGTAAGAGTCAGTCCTTTCCTATGGTTTAATAAATCTGTTCCGATGTCTGCTTATGAAACTGTTCTATTCATTGTCTAAAAAATTGTGGTAGAATTTGCAGCATACTGTTATGTGTTTTTTCTTTCTCAACATATGCTGTTTTTTTGGGGTTTTTTGTCTCCACTTCTATAAGTCATGAACCAAGAATACCATATTCTCTTTCACTTATACTTTCAAGCATAAAGAAAACGTGTTTACACATTTGTAGTTCCCTGGAACTCATGTAAAATGACTTACTGTTTATGTGGCCCATAAACAGTAAGATGGGCATGTCTTGGTTTTTGTTATTACAGTTTTGCTTTGATTTGTCTCTGGCTGCAGTTGTAGAGACAGAGTAAAATGTATGCTCCCTATTTAAATGTTTTTGGTTTAAATAATACTGAAAGAAGCTGACCCATAAGTTGTAATCTGTGCTTGAGAAACATAATTCATCAAAATTTATTAGAATAACACCTGTTATTAGAATATTAGTAGATGTCATCTATTTAGTATCCTGCTATTGTGGAAGCCTGCCCTGAGTCAGATTTAATTCATCTTTCCCCTTTATATTTTTATGACTTTAATGAACATGTTGAGTTTGTTCAGGGTTACATAGCTGAACTAGTTTTCCTCTTTTGACCTAAATTTATCTGAGAGATCATGATGCCTCTGGTTAATTATTAAAGATTAGGAAATACAACTTTGTTTTTCTCATAGTTGAAATTGTTCTTCAGATACCTGTTGGCTTGTGCTTTAAATTTCTCTGTATTCTTTTTACTTATTAGTCAAGTCAAAGGTCCATACAGAAAAGGAAGCATTTTATGTGTGTGGCCTTGATATTAGTAGGATCTTTGTAGTAGGTCTTGAATTGTAGCTGAGAATTTATATTTGTAATCTTAATTTCTTGTATCATTCATCTAGCATTTAGAATAAACAGAACAAGTTTCTAGTTTGTTTACACTTAGAACACTGTTATTTTTCTTTTCAATACTTTATGTACTTTTTCAGTAGCAGATGATTCATGATTTTGATAGAAACTCAGAAACATTTCTCTGATTATTTTTTTTTTTTTATTTCTTGGTCATTAGTCATATACTTTCTGAACATTCCTCTGAACATTCCTTTGTTTTCTGAAAATTAGCTTTTGCAAAATCTTGTATAAAAAGCAATATCAAAACCCAGTGATTTTAAAGTAACAGAAACCTACACATGCGTCTGATTTCAAAAGGATATTATCTCAGTCTGTAGGAAAGTAATACATTTGTATTGTATTGTATGGTAAAATACATGCCCAAATTCCATGAGCTTCAAAATTACAAAATGTTAAAAGGTTTCTTCTTTTGCCTGAAAAATAACTGTTGATTGACAGTAGAAGTATTTGATTTTGGGGTTTGTTTGTTTGTTTGTTTGTTTTTAAGGATTCTCATCGTTTTGGAAAAAACATCCAAAAAGCAATGGTTGACATCATGGGTTTATTTAACCTCGGTAAAAACTGTACAAAGTGAAACACTTCCTTGGTGCCAAGCAATCTCCTCTTGTTGGGATGAGAACTCTTCTGCACAGTGAACTAGAGCAAGGTCTGTCAAACAGTAGCTGGCGAAGAAACTGGTCAACACCTTCTTAAACATCTATTAAGACTTTAGCAGTGTATTAAATTTTTCTTTTTTTTTTTTTTTTTAGTAGTTTGGAAGAGTTTATTTCCATAAAGGATGACTTTTGAAATCTTGTATGTTTATAGGGATGAAGCGTAGTATTAATGCATGAAGTCATGTATATTCTAACTTCTACAGTTTTCTCTTAATTTGTATACACTTGCTCTTTTTTGTTCTAAAATTAGTTTACTTCTTTCCAGAATCAAAGGGATAAAACACACTGACTTAAATACTAGAAAAAGTTAGATTTGCTATGTATTAATAGCAGAATGTTCTTCAGTGTATCTGCTGCTTTATGTAAATGAGTTACAAAACTTGTGGCTGTTTGCCTTTTTTGGTTTTTTTTAAGAGGTAAATTTTAGAAAACATACCAAAAAAATCCCTGCTGCAACCCACCTTAACACACTAAGTTGTATAAATTTTATGTTTTTTGAAAAAAACCTGAACAAACAAAACAACCCAATCACTGGGTAGTAAAATGTGTCACCTCAATAACAGATATCACATTTTTTGATTGCTTACAGGCATGTTTGCGACACTGACCTTATTTCTGTGTAAATAAATGGACCTGTGTGCTTGTTCATGCAAGTGCCTTAGAAAAACAAAGATCCTTAACCTAGGAAAAAAGCATATGCTGGGAGTTGATTTTACACTGGTTTAGTGGTGAAGGAAATGTAGTAGTAATGCAGATCTGGTTTTCAAATTACAAGTTAGGATGATGTGGCATAAGGAGACTTGAATATGTTGCCATATGGTGCAGTTTGGTTTAAAAGTCTAATTAAATGCTCCCATTTTAAATATAAAGATCAGTCCCTATGAAGTGCAGGACTAACTTTGTTTCAGATTTACAGATACTCACATGTTTGTGTTGGTGAATGGTATTGATGGTCACTTGAAATAAGAGTTTCTGTGTCCCAGGAATTGTCAATTTAATTAAATGTACTGTGTTGGATAGTCTACAAAGCGAGGTTGTCTGTATAGGCAATTGCAATTTGCCTCCTTTCAGCCTGGAAGGACCACTACTACATTGCCAACCATCTGCATGAGAAGGGCAAACTATTAAAGCCATGGAAGAAACTCCAGAATGGGAGAATCATGGCGGTTCTTAAACCCTTTCTGGGAGATGCCCTTGATCACATAGTTTCTAAAGGATACAAGGGGAGAGGGGAAAGCTCTTTCACTCAAAAAGAAGCAATGATGTTTCCAAGTGCAGAAATAAAATGGCTGCTGCCAAATGGAGTAACTTTGTGCATGATGCTTCTTTTCCACTTTATAGGCTTTATAGGTGTGGTAACTCTTTACATCCCTGCAGTGTAGTAGAGGGTACTTGTTAATACCACAATTTTTTTATTTTTATTATTTTATGTAAGATACATGGTGGTTAGTAGTACAGTGAATGGTGCTCCAGAGCTGTGCTGAGTTTAAAAGGCCCTTGGAGTGGATATAAAACTTCTCATTAGTCTCTGAATGTTTTCTGGCCAGTATTTCTAACTTTTTATGCGTCCTCACATTTATTTTTACTCTGATCTAGCTAATAAAATATGTGGTGGGAACCCTCAAAGATCCAAGATGCAACTGCATGCTTACAACAGTGTAGGAATCCACACAGGAATTGATCAAAGACACTCATTATTTGGTTAGGGTACAGTATGTGGGAAAGGACACTTAGAAATAAGCCTTACTGTGGATGGCAGGCCTGGCATTTATCAAACTACTGCAACAATTTTACAGTGATCTGGTTTTGGAGCTGCAGAAATAATGCACTGGGGGTTTTGGGGGTTTGTGTTGTGTTTTGTTTCTGTTTTTTTTAATTGACCAATCTGTGCTTAAATTACCATTAGGGCATGATAGCTTTTAGGATTTTCTTTTAAAAAGAAAGGTTTAGATTTGACTCTCAGGTTTTAAGTGTTTCTAGTCTAATTGTAGTTAGTGCAGTTATCAATGCAATTTTACATTCTTGGAGAGTAACTATAATTGGCACAGAAAGCTGTTTATTGTAACTGTTTAAAACGTTTTGTGTTGTTAAATGTATCTTTTTAAATTTTGGAATAGATCATAATTCCTAAACAGATAATATTTCATTTCTTTTTCTTTGAAATGTCAGCAGTGTGTAAATAAAATATGCTTTTTGGATGTAAATCTTAGAAATCCACAGTGAATGTAGGTTATTAATAAATAATTTAAATCATGATGTTCAATATTGTGTAAATACAGTAAAACTGCTTGGGTTTTTTTTTTGCTCAAAGCCATAGGAATGTAACTGAAATTGCTTAGATTTGAATGAATTTTCTAGTACAGTGTACTTTATTGTAAAGGAAAATGTTCATATTCCAGTAAAACTACTAATTTGTTACTAAAACCTTGAATCATTGATTCTCAATTAGTGATTTAAGAGCTCAAAGTTAAGGTTGAGTTGGTGGTAAAAGTGAGGTTGGATGATAATAAATTTTTCTGTTTATTAAATTGCATTAGGAATTTGTGAAATACCTAGAATGTGTATTTTTCAAATTTATCTCAGCTATTTCATAGCAGAAATTAGGAAAGCATTAAGTCCATTTGGAGGGTACCACTCTTCAGGATTAATTCTGTTCCCAACTGAATATTCATTAAAGGCTTGAGTCTTTTGAAGAACTAGGGAAGAAGTGTGTGCGTGACCTGGAAAAACATGGTTATAATTCAGCCTTTCTACCAATTGTTTTCTCATGTAAAATATATTAATTTAAGCTAGAGGGTTTTTTTAATCTTGTTTAGTTACTCTACGTCTATTGTTGGTTATTTACATCCAACACTTCGTCTCTATTTTCTACTTTCTTCTGTGACTTCAAAAAATGAAATAAAATTTCACAATTACCACTACCTTGTGTTTACTGCAGTGTTTAACATCTTCTGTATCTTTTTCCCAGTTCCCTTGCTGCAGTTTCTGGACTGACAAAATCATTGCTGTTAAATCCGGTTAGGAACAGTAGTAACAGACTATTGAGTTGGTTTGAGCAATGATTTAAACATGTCTTGCTAGTTAATAGGGAGTGTGTTAATGAAGAATTCTCTTTTTTGGGTTCAGTAGAAAGGAGAAACAATGTAGGTCTTACTTTAGATGAGCTTCTTTTCACGAGATCGGGATAACTGCTGGAATGTTTCTGTGAAAGTCTGTCTGCAAGCCAGTGGATAGCTCCAGTTTGATTTTTACAGTGACTTATCCATAGAATAGAAATGGTAAGGCAGTGGACAACTAGTTCAGGCACAGAAAGTTATCATTGTTAAAACATTATTTGTCTAATCTATAGATTCCCAGTAACTGAAAACTCCCTTGGAATTTCGTTATAACTGGGGGGCTACTTTGAGAGAGTTGATAGGGATTTTTTTTATTACCCTTTGAAGGTTCACATGCTGATATTTAAAATGCTCTTTAATTTAAAAAATCTACAAACAAACAAACAAACCAACACACACACACAAACCCCACCAAATTGTTTTGTGTGATGCCCCATTTTCACAGCCATTTAGCTTGCTGCTTTGCTGGACATTGCATCCTTTGCAATACGAAAGAACACAGTGATTTCAATTTCACACTTCATCTCTTCAATACTTTTAGTTCCTGACTGTATTTGAAACATCTCTCACCAAGACTGGATACTGAAGTTGTAAATGAGTATGTTCAATCTGAACAGAAACAACATGGAACTTTTCTAGGCGCAGAAGATACTGATTTTTATTTTTTTCTTCATCTTCCCTTTGCCTGTAAAGTCCAGGTTCAATTTCTGCTTTCAAGAAAAGCATCTCTTAAGTGGCCATAGGTAGTGGCTCGGTGGGTTTAGTGTGTTTTCTAACACTGAAATCTTCATGGCATCGGGATAACAATTCCAAGATTTACACAGTGATTTGTAGAAAGGACTCTTAAGGACAGCAACTTGAAGCCAACTTTTTCACAGAATGGTTGAGGTTGGAAGGCACCTCTGAAGGTTATCTGGTGCAATCAGCTGGTTGCCCAGGGCCACATTCATATGACTTTCTGAGTAACTCCAAGGATGGAGACTCCATAGGCCAGTGAAGCCAGTGTTTATTCACGCTGACAGTGAGAAAGTGTTACCAGATGTTCAGAGGGAAACTCCTGAATTTCAATGTTTTGTCCTGTCACTGAACACTGTGGAAAAGACCCCGGCTCCATATTCTTTGCACCCACTTCTTATCTCAAGGCTGCACAGTCCCACTTCTCTCACCCTCTCCCTATAGGAGAGATGCTCCTGTTCCTTATTCATTTTCCTGGCCCTGCGTTGGACCCTGAGCAGCCTGTCCATGCCTCTCATTCTGAGAAGTGCAGAGCTGGACACAGTGCTCCACGTGTGGCCTCACCAGTGTTGCGTAGCACTTCTACATGGATTAGGAAAATTAACCTCTGACTCGGTACCAGGGTCCTGGTTAATCTTTGACTCCTTGCAATGTGGGATAATTTCCAAGGGAATTTAAATAAACACAGAAGGAACAGCAACAAAAAAAATCCCCCCAAACACACCCTGGCTCTTAGGCCATGCCTGCACTCTGCCATTGCCCCTGCCTGGACACGGCGTTCCAGCGCGGACCCCACTCCGTTAACATTCTGGTGCACAGCTGTCACTGCCCACCTGGGGGAAGGTGAATTGCCTGGGGTAGAACCAAGGATGTGCCCTCTGAAGCACCTGGGATGCCCCAGGTAGGGCCTGTCACCTCCCCATCTGCTCTGGACAGAGGGGTGGGGAGCGGGAGGGCATCCAAACCCTCCCTATCCCTCACTGCACAGGTCCTAGGCCAGTAGTGGTTGATGCATATGGGCAGAGAGATCTGAATCTTTGAAGAGCTGTCATATCCTGGCCTAGTTCAGGGCCCATGGGGACCTTGACCCTCCCAGTGTTGCCTTAGCCTAAATCCAAAAATAGTAATCATGAAAGCACAGGTGGATATTGGCCTGTCTTTTTGGTGGCGACCTTGTGTTACTCTGGGTAGAGGTGCTTTGGCTTGTGTTGTTGGCAACTGGCAATAGTGAC